GAAATTTTGTTGGTGCTTGCAAAGAGCTGCAGATAGAAACAGTAGTCACCAACAAAGAAACACAGGGATATTTAAGCGACAGCGGATGTAAATGGGTCTTCAATCCACCACACTCATCACATATGGGAGGCAGTTGGGAGCGTCTTATTGGGCTCACAAGACGCATCCTGGACTCCATGCTGTTAAAACTTGGCCCGTCAAAGCTTACCCATGAAGTCTTGACTACATTCATGGCAGAAGTATCGGCTATAGTGAATGCCCGCCCTTTGGTCCCTGTATCCACTGATCCAGACAACCCACTTATCCTGACACCGGCAACACTCCTGACTCAAAAGATCAGTGCACTTCCTCCCCCAAAAGGAGAGTTTGATGGCGACAATCTCTATGGCAAGCAGTGGAGGCAAGTCCAAGGTCTGGCCAACACCTTTTGGCATCACTGGAGGACAGAGTACCTACCCTCTCTGCAAAAACGGAGAAAATGGCAAAAGGAAATACATAATCTTCAAGCTGGAGACATTGTAATACTCAAAGACAAGCAGGTAAAACGAAACTATTGGCCCCTTGGTATTGTGGTCAAGACATTCCCCAGCGCAGATGGCAAAGTGAGGAAGGTCGAAATCAAGACAGCAAACGATGGTTCATTCAAGACCTTTCTACGCCCTGTCTCAGAGACTGTTCTACTCCTCTCCCCAGAGACATTGTAGTTGGTTTGTATTAGTGTGCATTGTACAGTTGTGGTGGCATCTTTTTAGATACCAGGCGGGGAGTGTTCTGGCCTAAGTAAGGAGCTGTAGGTCACCTTGCAGCCACTAGGGGGTGCTACATTTGTTGTTGAGTTTTTTGGACCTCATGGCGCTCTGTAGGAGGCCATTTTGGGTTTCTCATTCATTGATAAGAGCATGTTGTGGACACTTGCCTTATGAAGGATCTAAATCCATCCTGGACTAGGAAGGAATCGTATAATCATTGTCTGTGAGTAAAGTGTGATTAAGATGTTTCTTTTCACGACCATGCTTTCATTTTACGCAGATGGCTATGTTAGACCATGATTTTTGTGTTCTGCAGTATACCTTGTTCGCTAGGTGATAGTTTTCGGTCAGATATATTTTCAGTCACATACTGTTAATTTGATTGACATTAACAAGCATGTTATACTACACAGATATGTTTATTGATCGTGTATCATAACTGATTGTTTCTTTTTACTTTATTACAGTTTTACTCCATTTTGCATTCTGTCAATGAATAACGGTGGCACACAAATAAATCAACATTTATTGACTACGGAATGTGGAAGGAGTTATCTGTCTGCCTAGTTGAGGAAGGGGACTCTTTAATGAGGGCGGAACAGATAGTGCATCTAGGAAGACCTGCCAGTAGAGAGTTGCAATAGTCGATGCGTGATATCACAAGAGCCTGTACCAGGAGCTGTGTAGCGTGCTCTGACAGGTAAGGTCTGATCTTCCTGATGTTGTACGGGGCAAATTGACATGACCGGGCAATCGAGGCTACTTGAACCTTAAAAGTTACCTGGTCATCAATCAAGACACCCAGGTTCCGGCAGATTTTGTGGGCATGAGTTTGGTTGTTCCAAGCTGGATATTGATCTGTGGTTGCATAGAGGGACTGGTTGGGATGACAAGGAGTTCAGTCTTTAAAAGATTGAGTTGAAGGTGGCGTTCATTCATCCATTTAGAGATATCAGCAAGGCATGATGAGATTATTGCTGAGACTGTAACATCGTCTGGCGGGAATGACAGGAAGAGCTGGGTATCGTCAGCATAGCAGTGGTATGAGAAGCCATGAGAGCAGATTATTGAAACAAGTGAGCTTGTGTATATGGAGAAGAGAAGGGGACCAAGCACTGACCCTTGAGGTACCCCTGTGGATAAGCCGTGCGCTTTGGACACTTCTTCCTTCCACGACACTCTAAAGGATCGCAGAGAGGTAGGACACGAACCAGCAGAGGGCAGATCCTGAGATGCCAAGTCCAGAGAGCGTGGATAGGAGGATTTGATGGTTGACTGTGTGAAAGGCAGCAGACAGGTCTAGCAGTAATAGAACTGAGGACTGACCCGCAGCTCTGGCAGCTCGTAGCGATTCTGTTACTGGACAGGAACTCAGAGACTTGCTTAAAGACTGTGTGCTCAAGTATTTTTGACAGAAAGGGCAGAAGAGAAACCGGATTGTAGTTTTCAACCTGGGCTGGGTTTAGTGTGGGGTTTTTGAGCAGAGGGGTGACCCGAGCTTGCTTGAATGTGGTGGGGAACACACCCGTTGACAGAGAGGAGTTGATGATATGCTTAAGTGCAGCATTAAGCGGAGAGGAAATGGTCTGCAGGAGGCTTGATGGTATTGGGTCCAGAGGACAGGTGGTGGGCTGAGAGTCTAGCACAAGCTTAGCAAGCTTAGAGACTTCATCCTCAGTCAGAGAGGAGAATGAGTCGAGTGAGGCACTTTTGGTTGGGGCCTTTGGGCTGAGTTGGTCAGGCTTAGAAAACTGGTTGCTGATGGTTGCAACCTTTTCAGTAAAATACGAGGCAAACATGTCTGGTGTGAACAGATCGGAGGGTGGAGGAGGAGGTGGTTGAAGCAGTGAGTTAAAAGCAGAAAACATTTTTCTTGTATCTTTAGCATTGCACATCTTGTTCTGATAATATGTTGTCTTGGCTGTTTTCAGACTGGAGGAGAATGAGACAAGTCTTTGCTTATCGTCATTGAGGTCAGCGGACTGTTTGGCCATTTTCTCTCTGCTGACCTCAGCCCTGCTCTTTGCTCTCCTATGACTTCAGTGAGCCGTGGACTTGGTGGGTTTTGCGAGCGGGTTTGGAGACCAGATGGCAGAGCTTGTTCAGAGATGAGGCTAGTGTGGAGCAGAGTATGTCTGAAGCCTCGTCTGTAGAGAGTGCGGTAAAGACCTTATGGGCAGGCATGACAGCCATTACCTCGTTAGACAGCTGAACTGGCTTGAGCGATCGCATGTTTTGGTGGTATGACACCATTTGTGGCTGTGCCTGAGGGAGTTCTGGCAAGGAGATTGTTAATTGAATAAAGAAGTGGTCTGATAGATGCAGTGGGGTGACAGTTAAGGTTTGCTGTCGAGCAGTTCCGAGTCAGAATTAAATCAAGAGTGTTGCCAGCTTTGTGGGTAGGAGGAGTTGGGACCTGCGTGAGGTCAAATGAGAATAGGAGAGCAAGGAAGTCTGTTGCCTGGGCTTTATCAGTGTGTATATTCATGTCTCCCATTACAATCAGTGGTGTTCCATCATCAGGGATTTCTGAGAGTAGCATGTCCAGTTCCACAACAAAATCATTCAGATTACACCCTGGTGGGCGGTAAATGGTAGCAATGTACATTTTAATAGGAGCAGTAACCAAGATTGTATGATATTCAAATGAGGAGTTGTTGCTCAGTGGGAAGAGTTTATTGAATTTCCAGGTATTAGAAATGAGGATACTTGTACCACCTCCACGTCCAACAGAGCGAGGTGTGTGTGAGAACACTGTGTCAACAGAAAGAGCAGCTGGTATGACTGTATTTTCTGGGCGGATCCAGGTTTCAGTAAGGGCAAGTGCCTGAATGTCTGACATTTTTGCAAGTGCTTGGATGAATTCAGTTTTATTCACAGCAGATTGACAGTTCCTGAGGCCAAAAGTAAATGAAGGGTGGATGGACGAGGCTTTCTTAAGCAGAGACAAGTTGTTCAGATTTCATTGTCTATGACAGATGTGTCTTTTTATGTAATTTATGTAACCAGCTTTTTTCCTTTTTGTTTTGTTTGTTTCTGTCTGTTTGTTAGTTTTTCAGTAGTATCCTCTTTAAATGTTGTGTACATTCTTAAAATGCAATAAAAATTAAAAAGAATCATGACTTGGAGATATTCTTTACAACAAGGAACAAGAAAGAACTGTGACAGGGGTTTTTTTTAACTATAGTTACTATAGATATAACTCCCTTTCTTTTCCACTGAGGTCAAAAACAAACTGTCATCTGTTGGTTCTCTGTCACAATGTTAATAGTTGTACCAAGTGTGGGTAGGGTAGGTTAAAAGAGTTCAAAGTGTTCAACTTCTGTTGCTTGAAAACCTTAATCCAATTTGCTAAGTCCATTAAGTTCTTGGTGCAATATGAAGAACTGTATTTCGGTGTCCATTCATATCCTATATATTCACAGCTAAAATCCTGCTGCAGGTACATAACTACCTACTGCAAAGGGAACGCCGAAATGAAAATGATCACACAAATTCATCAACAAAGCCTGAGATTAGAATATACTCCCGTTATTGCGTAAATATATTTCGCAATGTATATGCAATCTACAGCAAAACTAATTGTATGCTTTATGCTTTGCCATTACAAACAAACAGAGAAATATGCACAATAATCAGGGGAACAGTCTTTTGTTTTTTTAGGGATAATGAAGAGTGGACATGTTCCCTCTTGTGTGTTTGCTGAATGTTTCCACTGGATTTTAAGCCTTTTTCTCTTTATTGAGGCTAAATAAGCCTGCAGTTTTTAAAACAAAATTGTTCATTAAGTGTCCGTTTTTTACTATGACCAACTCAGTAAATACTTGAATATTGCATACTGTATTGTTTGATAAAACTGCTAAAGTACTATCTGTCCGGGCCTCTGCAGGCTCTCATCCTAATGGCCTTAAGTTTAGAAAAGAAGCAGTTTGCTGTAAAGATTCCTGAGTTTTAAAGTTAGTCTCTTTTCAAAACTGTTTATGTGCAAAGAGTTTCAGGGGAGAAAAATGAAAACTATTGTGCTTGATATCTCCATGAGTCTTTCTACTCAGACATTCATAAGACCATCGTCTCATGTTAAACTCAGACACCTGAAGGAAGCACAGAAAAATGATGGAAGGAAGAGGGAAAAGTACAATCACAAAAACAAGAGAAGGAGGAGAAGAGACAGATAGTTACTGACAGCAAAAACCTGCGAGTTGAATAAAAATGTCTATGATATTTGGTCGTTTCACTTCAGCAGACTTTTGATCACCTGTCTTTGAGGACTTCACCCAACCTGATGAAAGAAAACGAAAGTCAGCGTAGGTTTCACCGGGGTTTTTATTGTGAAGATAAAAACCTGCTGCCAGACTTCTTTGATAAGTGGTTGACACTTGTGACTCCAACAAAGAAAGACATCTAAGCCTCTCCGCTTTGTAACTTTCTTCTTTTGTCAACGAAAGAATGTCAATATTAATGACAAACCACTGTTTTCAAAAAATATATTGTCATCACACGCAGGCTGATGGCTCCTTTTCTGACACAAAAACTGCTTATTTGCCAACTTAAGAGTTTTGTTAATACTTTTATAATGGTGTTTTAGTGAAATTTAGAATACATTATCTGTCATGTTTGGTGTTAAACACTTAATCTTCCCTTTGCGTAGACAATGTGAAAATTATTGACATTCCATTACAATAAGTCAGCGTGACTTTGTTCCAACAAACTCAATGAAAGAGAGGACAAAAAAATGTTCTTGATATAAAATATCAAGAAATCAGAGGTTCAACAAAAAGTTGACATGACCAAACGGCCAACATGGAACAGAGAAATCAGTGATAAGTCAGATATCAAATGAATGGATGGACCTTTCAAGTTGGGAAGAAAGAGCCATGGAGAATTATCCCCCCAACCTTGGTTTGAATCAAGACCAGTTGAGTCCCTTAAAGCTTTTGACCTGACTGCAACTTCAATAAATTGTTTCTTTACTAGTTGGAGAACAAAATAGTGAAACCACCAAGTTTTGTTTTAGATGTAAAGTAATAACTTTAAGTATGGCCTCGCAAAATAGCAAGTTAGTGTTTCATATTTATATCTTCCATAGACACAATTACCCATCAGCCCTGAATGAAATTAAGTTATAATTTGAGTCAATTTGCAGGTCAGGGGTTGCTACTAGTTCAGACATGTCCGAAACAATAGCATAAAGAGTTCCAAACAGCATAGATGGTTTTCTCACTGTAAAGCAGAAACTGCAGCAAAAAGTTGTGAAAAATGCTTAACAATAAAAATGATTGCTCTGCTCTGCTTGCACTTTCTCTGTAGTAGCTACAGTTTTTTGTTTCAAAGTAATAAGTGTTAGAGATTGCTTGCATCACAGAACAAAGTAAAATACAGTAGAGGACAGGTCAGATATTGGCTCTTTGGATCAATCATCTTTTTCTTTTTTCATTTTAAATCAAGCCTGTCTGATCTAAAAATCAAACTAAGATGCCACAATTGAAGAACAGATTTGGCTTGTTCTTTGCCCAAAGGAGCCACAATCTTTAGACAATGTTAGGCTTGATAAGACAGAGCACTTCCATCAATTCAAACATATCCAGAAAACACAAAACAGTCTTAAAGCCAGAGACCATTGTCCAGACTATATGGAAAATCATTCATTGATTTTGCCTTGTTAGTTTTTGAACCCACTTCCAACCCATTTGTACTCTGAACTCATGTTTAAGCGCCAATGTCAAACACATTCATTGTGTGTGCATGTACAGGTGTACAGCCTCAGCATAGAAGCCACAGACCGTCTATTGATCTCATTACCTTTACCCTTGAGACAACACTACTGAATAGAGAGATCAATCACTCACTAGATTTACACACAGTCACTGTATCTCATACTCTCTTTCTGAGTCAAGTAAAATGCACTTCCTGCTATGTTGGCCATTTAACACATACAGTGTACTCTAAAGTCTTACAAACACACATGTATTTATATGAAAAAACCAATGCATTTGTTCTCATATCCCTCCTCTCTTCCTCCCTTGTCATCCAACCATCTTTCTTCTCTTACATATTCCCATGTGTTTAATTACCTGCAGGCTTTTATTGCAAAGCTATGAAAAGACCGAGCAGAATTAATTTCCATCATTTTGCCAATTAAATGACATGAAGCATCTCTTGTTTTAATCAAGGGTTAATTAACATGATTGGAGCAAACATAACACAAACCAATAACTCACAAACTGAATTAGACTTGGTTTGTGTGTGCATGTAGCGTATATGTGAGTGTTTACAGCACCTCTGTGTTTTTGTGTAAGTGTTTGCAAGTGCGGATGCATCCCGGACAAACGGGAATTCTGTCAATTATTCTCTTACAGTGTGCGATGTGCTTTTTATGTGTAACATGAAATGTCTTATTGCATTGCTTTTTTGAATGCCACACATACACACTACACATGCATGTCTTGTCTTCTCTCTACTCTATACCCTCCATTACAAATCTCTCCTCCTTTCAATCATCTACTCCCGTCTTTCCATTTCCTTGCCATTCTTCAGCTTTCCTGCCCCTAACCGCTCTGTTTCCTTTGCTCTGCCCTGACGAGGTGCTTTGATCTTTGCTCACGACGATGCAGGTGTACAAACCACGGAAAATCAATTTTAAATGCATGCAGTTTGAGACATCTTGAGGCGCTCAGATGTTTTGCCATCGGATTGCCCTTCAACCTCTCTGTTTCAAATTATTTCGACATGAAACCACAAGGAAGTGCAGCCTTAACAGACAGCTGTGGTGTGAAGTGGGACACTGCAGGGGGCTGACCTCTGTTGAACGGTCAGTTCAGGGTCTCTGTACTCGTACAACACATTCTTACCAGCTGACAAAATGCAAGCAGCTTGACAGAGTAACAGAAAGAAAGAATGGATGAGATTCAGTCACATACGATAGGGGTGAAAAAGAAAGAAGTAGGGACCGATAATGAAGCATGAGAGTATAAGTATGAGGGAGAGTGTGAAATACAAGAGGAATGTAACAAAAGAACAGAGTGATGTATATCACTGAATTGGCCATTGGCATCAGCAATAACACCTTTCTCATATATTGCTGATTGGTACTCTAAATATGACAGAAAACAGTAAACCTTCCCTGACGGTCACACACACTCATATAAATGCACCCACACATGCACAAAGCCATTCATATAAACACATGCGCATGCGCCACATTTCACCACAGCTGCTATGCTGGATTCATCCAAATATGGTCGGGGATATTTCCATGGCAACAGCAGGCAGAAGGGGTGCAGACTTGTGCTGGATGATCTCCAGAGAGAGTCTGCTTTTTTAACTTTTGATTCAAACTATTCTCTGTGAGTTCATTCAACAGTGGAGACTTTTTAGAGTATGTGTCTAAAATGAGAACATAGAGGATCAAGGCTTGGTTTCATGTTGGCTGGACATGAAACTCCACTACTTGATCTGTAAGGTTGCAAAACGTGTGGCCCTATACATTAGTTAGAACCTTTTGTTCAGGTGGACACATTTTAATTTTATTTTCTAACTTAAGTTTGAGCTTATGTTTCCCTAAAATCTGTTTCATAAGAAAAAAACAGCCATTTATGAATACTACTAATGAGGTTTACAGTAAGAGATAAAAGGCAGACAGTGCTTGTAATGGAAACATAACTCAAGCAGTAATGGCTGACCATAAAACAAAGAGATGTTGTTGCTGTGAAGGCAACTTTGTAAGTCAAAGCTATGACCACTGGCTGCCCTTCATTGTCTGGACTGAAATGTATAGCAAAGAGGGACAGCGTAGCGGTCCATCTTTCTACAAACACAATATGAATATATGAAACATGTTCTTATGAATGGCTTCAAACTATTGGAGGATAGTATTACAGAACAGTGTGTGTCAATCATTGATAAATCCTGGTTGGAGAATGAAGGGGAATTTTCATTTGGATAAAGATAAAGAGATCATTAAGATGATTTAGTGAAAAACTAATGACAAAATAGCGCTTGAAGTTTTGCTGGAAGGGAAGTGTGTATGTTGGGATGTGTGGATGTGTGTTTGTGTGTCCCATGAGGCAATAGATATTTATCTCAGCCCAGCTATTCATTAATGGGTCTGTAGCCTGCTGGCACCATGAGGAATTATAGGACAGAAGCAATCAATACACTCCGGCTCCAATTCCAGACTGTGTGTGTGTGTGTGTGTGTGTGTGTGTGTGTGTGTGCGTGTGCGTGTGTGTGTGTGTGTGTGTGTGTGTGAATGACATAGTTTTCTTGTCGTATGACAGTTAGCCTCCAGACCTGATGTGGGTTTTTAGGATTATTTCTAGAAGAAGAACATGTAAAAAAAAAAAAAACTTTGACAACTTATGTCTGCTGAGGCTTTAAACACTGACAAACTGACACTGACAAGTGCATTCCCTCTATATTACCTTCCCTTGTTATTTAATGTATAATACCAGAATACCGGTATAATACGGGTTAGTATTCCTGGTTATACTTTAAACCAAGATACACTTTGGTTAGATGTTATGTTCATTTATCTTTATCAGGTCCACAAACAACACTTGTAAAATACAGCGTTGCATTATACCTTTTTAAATAATTATGCACAGCAAATGTGTTATATTGTTCAGTTTATACAGACTGAAAAATTGATGCAACATTTGCATCAAAGTTTTAATTTTGTTATTTAGGATCCCAGACATCATGAGAGGTGGCGGATGTATGAAAATCAAAGAAATGCAAAAAAAATAAAAGCATCTTGACCATCATTAAAATCATTTGAAGAGTGACACAGACAATAAAAAGGAGAAAATGACGACAGAGAGCATTCCAGATGGATCAGACAATTAAGTTAAATCATTATTTGGCATCCAGCACACCGCCACATCCATCTCTACGGTGAGACAATGTGATCTTGAGATCTGGAGATGGTTTGATATTATTCTCCATTAATTACTTTAGTTATCAACCCAAGGTAACTAAATCATTGTCTGTATGCTCTCCTGGTAATGCAATTATCCTGGTATCAAACAAGTGTTTGACCAACTGGGCTAATCAGAAGTTCCTTTAACACTCTCCCAGTAATAAGGGCACCCACCCATGACCATCTCCAATTTACAACACGGCCCATTTATGGTCCTGATACTAACGAAGGCTGATATTCAATTACCCTTTTTTAATCGAAACTGACTGGCAGGAGACTACAAGATGTGCTGCAAAAATTAACATGTTTAAAACACCTTTCAGATCTTGTGCATTCGGCACATTATAAGCATTAGAAAACCATAAATGGAAAACTAATGGCTTGAGAGCGCTAGTTGATTTAACAGCTTTTTTAATTAGTGCAAGATGTTTAAATGTGACAAATAACCATTCAGTATTAAATGGAAGAGAGGGATGTCTACTGTTAATAAGACGGAGATGCATGCTTTAAAAAAAATAGGACTAAGTTGATTTTCACCGAGCAGCAACAAATTTCAGCCTGAATTCAAGGATTTAATATCAAATATTGCTTTCATGTTGTCAAATATGACCTTCAGTAGTTGTCATAACGTGCTAATTTAACTTTTGTCCTGAGGAGGAGCCATGTGCTATCCAGCTGCTCTTTTTTTTCCCATTATCCCCCGCCTGTTGATGACATTGAGACACAAGTGACAAGGATAAGAATCCTCAACTCACTTTAAAAAAACAAAAGAAAACAAGTTTATTGGTACATTGGTATGCACAGTGTGTCTCCAAGGTTTCTGCAGTTTTGAATGGCAGTTTTGGGATCCTAACTCTGATTATGATTTGTTTATCTTTCCAGTCTGACTTTTATCCAATCCACATATTCACATTTGGGGGCTTCCATTTATTTCTTCTAGAGACCATTGAGCAGCTCCAAAGAGCCAGTTGGAGGTTAAGTGTTTTGCTCAAAGGCAGCATTCACAGTAATTGTTAGCAGAGGGGAGAGCACAGTTGTGGGCTTATCCTTTGTTTTGTAGCCTCAGGCAAGCATTTAAAAATGATGTGTTGCTGTGTTATAGTATTTGAACCAACACTACCCATCACACCTTCTGTATTATGGATAGGTATGACAAAAATAAGTTCAACTTATGTCATGGTTTCAGAGTTTGAACTTTAGCTGATCCCTTTCACTTTTCACTTGAACCTCTTTGTCTCTGTTTTCATATGTTCTGCAGCATATTACATTATGGATTTAGACCATACCTGGCTCTCAGCAGGATGACGAGGATGATGTAGATGAAGATGAGCATGAGAAGATGAGCATGGTGAAAATGAGCATCATGGTGGCGATGAAAACGAAAATGACGCTGGCTACAATTTAGCTGCACAGCGTAGATCACTGTAGGAAGAGTAGAACAGAAATACATTTGTGGCATTTAATGGTCATGTGATGATGATTCAAATCTATTCAAGGGCTGTTTTGTTCTCTTTGTATTGGCTGGCATAGGTGCTAAAATAATTATTCATCTTTTATTTATCACACAGTTGTTATGGAAACAAAAACTTCATAGGCTTACTTCTCTTGCGCACAGATGTAGATCCAACAGGTTTGGAAGGTTATTTTTTGCAAGGGATTTGTAGGAGGAATTCAGGCAAAGTGAAAACCACCTCCAACATTATCAAAAGTGTGTGTCTGTGTGTGTTTTTGTGAATGCATAATGGGCAAAAGTCTTGCTGTAAAGTCTGGTTGCAGTTTTGTTTTGGTCACCATTCAGTAGGTTTCTCAGTAATGGTGTTACAGACTCTGCGCTGCCATTTCTAAACACATGGCAGAAAACTGAAGCTTTTTCACCATGAAGTGAGAGAGATTACTTATAGTTCATAATGGAATGCCAGCCACATGGTGAACCTTCCTTGTTGTTTGTTGTTGTAAAGAAGAACCAGAGGAATGAAAAACATTTATTTTACTGGTCAAACTCAGCTCAGCCAATTATAGTGAATGGATTGTATGGCTTATCATTCATTTCCTTAATGGTTATTAAGTAATAAATAAAAAGAAACACATCATAATTAATCAAAAACAGGAAATGACACTTCTCAGTTTGGTGGCTCTATAAGTTACATGTGATTTGCAATTCACATTTTCAACATAAATGTACCTTTTAAGGCCTAACAATTGCAAAAAGGGTCTACTTGAGGTCCAATAATAAGCCCTAGGGGGGGATCCATTTTTGAAAATTGTACCATGTGGGACAGAAATGAACCCCTTCTGTACACCTATATCTGTCAGGGTGCTGTGTTCACAAGCAACAGCTTTCATAAGAGGGATATTTGAAAACAGTGCAGACATAAAGCTCTGCTTCTCCATCTGCCCTCAAAAAACATCCAGTGGTTAAAATCCCCAAAGGATCGCACGGTTAGAGTACAGCTGCCTGGCTTTTTAATGTGGAACACACTAGTTGGAAAAGCAATCCCATACTGTTTTCACTTATCCAATCTTATTCAAATGCCACAAACTACCAAACAAGCGAGGATAAATGAAGATAAAAAGAAGCAATTGATTCATCCCAGCTATGTTGTTGAAGTAATGAGGTTATTTTCAGGGGAAACACTGTGGATTCTTAATGTAAGGAATTAAACTACCTACTGCTCAACTGGGATGAGGCCTTCTTGTTTAGATATATAATATATTTAGAATGTATTTTATAGTTGTTTGTGTTTCCTGTTGTTGTTTATGTTGTCTTTTCCTTCTCTTGTGTGTGTGTATAATTGGTGTTCATTATGTCTACCTGCCTTCTTTTTATCTTAAGTTCTCCTTGTGGCTCCTTGAGTTTTTCTCCCCCTTCTGTGGATTATTTGTTTGGAACTTTTGTTGGTAATTGAATTCTGTTTTTGCCCTTTTTCTGTATTAAAATGATGTAGTCTTCATTGTTTTTCCACATTGTGATACCAACTTAATATAGAAAAACATCACATAATGGCTCAACTGACCTGCCGATGAGGAGAAACTCCCCGACCAGTCCCTGGCGTCTCATGGCCATGAGGATGTTGCGGACAGTCATGCCCTCACAGAAACAGGCCACCACTCTGGCCTTGGGCAGGTGGGCCCTGAGTCTCTCCAGCAGACGGTCAAAGCTCTGCTCTCCAGCATTGCTCCAGATTTTGCCTGAAAGAAACATGTCAGACACATACATGGACCGTTACATCTCTGTTATATATATATATATCTTCATTTGCTATAGTCTTGGGTTCAATTGATTATGTGTCACACTTTCTCAACTTCATGAAATCGTTGTGCTCAGGTGTTAACCACCTGACACCCTAAGTGTGAAACACAAGGTAATAAAACAACAGGTCCACCTATTCTGTAAAATATGTGTCTTCCTGTTTATTGAATGCATGTAGGCTAGGACTGCAGGAGAGTTCTGTACAGCTGCTGTCGCTGTGGTGTCTTTGTTTGACAAAATGTTAGAGGTAATTAAAGGTGTCTGTTGTTTATTGTTGTTTGTGTGGAAATGCTAATGTATGAAATGCAGTGGTGGTTTCCAACTTGATTTCACTTTAATGTTTGAGATTCTTGAATATCTTACCAGAGTGGGCAATACAGATGCCCTCCTTCGCTGCCATGTCCTTGAATGCTTCCATCCCACTTTCACCATAGTTGCCTTGGAAATAATGTGAAGGGAGGTTTGATTAATTGCAGTTTTTTATGGCTCAAACAACAAATGTAAAAACCAGAGAAACGTGGATGGATGTGAGTAAAATGGACAGATAGAAAAAGGAAGACGTCCAAAATTCCGATGAGCATTATGGATTCAATTCAGGTCATGACTGACTCTCGCAAACTGAATTAGAAAATGACATATCACAAATTGCTCCTAATAGACAATTAATTTTAGTCAAAATAATAACAGTAGAAGTCATGTTTTCTTCTGATTTTCAAATGAAGGCCCACTGTAGAAAACCGTCTGCTCCCGCACCACCCATAAATGCTCAAATTTATGTCAGAGAAAGCGTCTCCCCACTGTGGCACCCATTTCTTTGCCGGAGAAAGTGGGTGACCTGGAATTTATGCTAATGACGGGTTGTACACACTGGCAAAGAATTTGATAGGATTCCCCTCTTTGATTTTCTCCCTCCCGTTTTATCGCTTTCTCTTCAGTGTGTTGATTGAAGGAAAGATCAAAAACATCTCTTTCTCACAGTTTTTAGCGGTCTTCCTCTCGATCACGCTTAATGAGGTTGTTTTGTACTCTAATGTTTCCTCCTTTATACTGGCGGTGTTATCAAGAGCAGAATAAGGTCTAATTAGGCAGCATTGATCTGCACTCTGCTTAATCTGATGAGGAAAAAGAAGAGGTCAGAGGAGAAAAAGTGATAGAAAGAAAATGAGGAAGGATACAGATAAGAGAAAAAAAGGAGAGAGGTGGTAAGTCATGGCGGAAAAGGAGAACACACAGAGAAAAAAAGGGGAAAATGGAGGGAAAAGAAATGTAGACTAAAAGTAGAGGGTGTCGCACAATCCCTGACTGCTGCTGCATCACAGTGTGTGTGTGTCTGTGTAGTCAGGCCAATGATGAGTGTGGTAGAGCGAAGTGTAAAGTCCTGTAATTAGTGTCTCAGTGAGAGGATAGGGAGACAGATGGAACAGACTATCTTTCCCCTACACACACACACACACACACACACACACACACACACACACACACACACACACACACACACACACACACACACACACACACATCCATACTGTTACCCTCATCAAAATCGATAAAGCTTGTAACCTACTTCACTCTGGTCTCAACTGGGATTTATGTGTGAGACGTCTCTCTCTCCGTAGCTCAGTAGGCCTGTCATGTGTCTCTTTATCACTCAGTTTTATATCCACACTCGCTGTGCTACTTTACATTACTAGAACACTCACACAAATACACGTGTTGCCCAAATCTCTCCAAAACATAAACCCACGCACCCTCACACACATTCATCAGTTTGAGATCCGTTGTAGGCTAACAGATGAACAAAAAAAAAAAGGTGTCTGTCTGTCCTCTCGCCCTCACTGCTGAACCCAAAATCTACTTCACTCTGCAGGATGCCTTCCAGTAAACACTGAAACACTCTAGGTTTCACACACTCGCAGACTTGTTTGGTGCTGAATTTTAGGGTGACCTGATACTGATATCTCAAACATGTCATGTTAGTCAGACTCTAGCAAAACTATGTGTACAATACACTGCTAGATTGCCATATTAGCAAGACAATAAATTGCACCCCACTCTCTTTCAAGGCATGTGTCCGTTGTGTTTATAGCTATATGAGCTCTGTGCTCCTTGTCTTCTACCTACCTTTCTACCCCTTGTTTTGTTTAGTTTTGATTGTTATTTGCGATCCACACAGAAACATACACACAACTCCAGAAAATACGTTCACCTACATACGACTACTGGTGTGTAGTCAACATCTACAGGTGGAGCGCTTAAACTCCCTTCTCAGATGAGATGATGTCATCTGCTTTGTCATTTTCCCCTAAAACAAAAAACAGGGACGCAGGTGGCGCAGTGGTTATTGCCATGTATGGAGGCTATGGTCTTTTTAAGCATGCGGCCCAGGTTCAAATCCCACCTGTGGCTCCTTTCCCGCATGTCATTCCCCACTCTGCTCCCTAATTTCCAACTCTATCCACTGTCCTATTGCTCCATTAGAGGTTGAAAAAGCCCAAAAATAAATCTTAAAAAAAAAAACAACAACTGGAATCTCCAGTGCTCATACAGTATGCCATATTTACAGCTTCTCTGATTCATATACAGTATATCCCCTCGTCCCTTTTACCTCACTGCACAAATGTGTTTCTCTTTAATCCCTGCATTTAAATCTTTCATTTTAAAGATAAACAAGAACAGAAACTTACAGTTAAAATGGGGGGAAGAACTGAAAAACACAAGAAAACAACAAAATCCCCTGTGCACTCCTCTTCTTTGATCTCTACTTCTTATCTGGTATTTTGCAATACTTTACAACATGCAATCAAATGCAAAGCTGAAGGGTCCTCGGCTGACTGTCTGTGAAGCCCCTTATCACCCCCCTCGGGCTACTTGCTTCTTAAACCCTAGCTCTCATAGTTCAAATATGGAAGTCAATTGTTAAATACAGACAGGGGTTGTTCTTTTTCTTTGCCACCTCATTTGCATCCCTCCCGTCTACTTCTCACATTTCCTCCACCCTACGCAATTACTATCCTCTGTCACTCTTATCAGGTCTAATACATGCAATTACATGCTGCCCCCCCCCCCCCCCCCGTTCCCCTTCCCCCTCTTTTCCCCTTTTTTTCTCCCTCTTCCCCCCCCCAGTCACAGCTTCCCCCACTGAAAAATAACAAGAAAACTGCGAACATAGTGATGGGCATCCTCCTTCTATTTCCTCAACATTGATACCACTACCCCATATAACATCTGAGGTGCTAAAACAATGTGCAATTAAGTGACAAATACAATAATACCCCGGGGAAGACGCTCACTAAAACTCATAATGTGTCGAGCACAGAGTTCAACAAGGTAACAGATAACATTGCTGATATAACACTCACGTCCATAACAGCTGGCATCAGCACTGAGACATGAAGAGAGTCAATAACTAACAGACTGTAAGAGTGACAAAAACATTCTTTATGAAGAGAGAAACCTCAAACTGCTGTGGATTCATCTTTGTTCTATCAAAGGCAAGTACAGTGATCATCACTACATACACGATGAAGGATGTAAATCTTTTCTGGAGATTGAAGATGGGTCTGCAACCATTTAGCATGCACTTCTCTGGTCTGGTGAGACATTAAGCTGAAAAGAGCTAAATTAAGAACCATGAAGCTGTAGTTACAATCCATAACTTAGTTTGTCGAAACATATTTATCCCAGGGTGCTGGTGGCCTAGTGGTTAGTTTGCACGCCCTGTGTATGGAGGTTACGCTCCTCAGATGGGCGGTCCCGGTTCGAGTCCAACCTGTGGCTCCTTTGCCGCTAGTCAAAGCCCACTCTCTCTCTCTCTCTCTCTCTCTCTCTCTCTCTCTCAGTCGCGGTTCTAGACCACTTTTACTGACCTTTTTACCACCTAATAATAGCCCATGCTCTCTCTCCCTGATTTCCAACGCTATCCACTGCCCTGTCTATCTAATAAAGACATTAAAACACATATTTATCCCTGCATGAATCACTTTGATTTATAACCCAGCAAGTAATGCCTGATGGTTATAATGTCAGGTAGTGGTTTAGTAAAAAATATTTAAAAAACTCTTAACCTTAGACCCTTTAGGAGTTATTTTACATTAGGACTAGTATTAATTAAAGTAAGGTCTTCATTTCTTCATATTTAAATTGATATGCGTAATATCCATTACCCCACATTTCTGCCTTTGAAAAGCTGCACACTACAGACAGGAGGCATACATACCTGTAGGCCTACATGTCAGCAGTTATACAAGCATAACCATGGTTTAGGTTTACCCCAACAAGTGTAGTTTTTACTCAGTCTCCACTTTCAATTGTGGCCATTACCCCCAGAAATCTCCCTCTCTGGACTTTAAAGAGTTTCAGATCACAGTCACTTTCAACAACATATGTCAATGCCACTACTTGCAACTGCTTTCTCACATTTTTGCACAGTTGCAGCAAAATTACATTCTTGATGTATTTACCATGACAAACGCTAACACGTTTTCCCTCTTCAAGAACTTATTTTATGCCAAAGATAAAGCCAGGGCAACAGGAGCCATCTATCTTACCAGAAGACGTTACATTGATTCCCAGAACATAAGTTTTTTAATCTGTGCCCGAGCCAATTTGAGTTGATTTAGTCCTATAGGCTCAAACACAGTACAGTTCTCGTTATATGGGGACCCATCAGAAACTGGCCCATGACCCACTTTGTATTGTCAACCTCAGTCAACAGTGCCAGAGACGGCAGTAAAATGTGAGAAGATTCTGTCAATCATCTCTACCCCATTCATTATTCCTATCTCAACACTTCTGTCCAAATCCATCCCACTTTCATCTTCCCCAGTCCTGCAAAGGCCATGGCATGTCATCCCCCAAGTGCAGACAGAGAGAAAAGTATGAGTGGAAAAGAAAGGAAGAGAAGACGGACAAGGTAGACGAATGTGAAAATCAGCATTGCAGGATCAAAAGAGCCAATAAAGAAAAAAATGACGAAAAGAAAGGAGAGAAAATGAGAGGGAGAGGGAGGGAGGGAGTTGAGATGAAGCGGTGGAGAGAAGGTTGACATCTAGAGTTATTGAGAGACTGATCAATTTCTGTTGGAGCGTGCTTTGGTGACACATGTCACATTTCAGGTCAATAAAACCAATTGAGCTGAATTGAATTGAACTGAAGAAAGCAACACCAGAAGGAATGAGAGCGGGAGGCAGAGTGAAACTAAGGAATACAAAACTGCATGGAGGGCGATATTGTTGATTCTCATTAAAGAAACAGCATTGAACAATGAAAGCAAATTGCAGGAATGTGTGGCTTTTTATAAGATTGTTTATGATTAAGCAGACCACAAACTTTGATAAAAGATTTCGATATTGTAGGCTACATAATATGCATACATAATCTCTTTACAATATGGTTTATATACATTCACGTAACCATCCGTCTATCTGTCTGTCTGTCTGTCTGTCTGTCTGTCTGTCTGTCTCTCTGTCTGTCTCTCTGTCTGTCTGTCTGTCTGTCTGTCTGTCTGTCTCTCCGTCCATCCATCCATCCACAAAATGATGTTACAAAAACAACAAAAAGGAACTGGTGCTTATTACAGACCTATTCTACTTCAAGTGAATGCAATAATCTGCATACCATATCATGCATTTGAGCAATGAATTGAAATCACTTATGGAGAGGATACAGCTGTATTCATAATGCATGACGACGAGATAATGCTCCTTCCAGAAGTAAGGTTGGAAAAAGTGTGCGTCTGTACCGAATGGTACCGGAACAGTTCCATCGTATTTGTGCAAAGTACAATTTGTGAAATGTATATTCTGGTATCATGATAACCCTGACAGGACTAGGCTGTGCATCGTCTTTTGCATAGTGACCTTTATTTGAAAGAGATGCAGTCCAGCCTCAAGAGACTTGGTTGTTATTCCATAACTGTAAAATCTACACCTTACATGCACATAACATGTACAATATTTACTATCTCCCATCCATCCATCCATCCAATCATTCATCCATCCATCCATCCATCCATCCATATGTATTACAGGGCTGTAAAATCTACACCTAACATACACATAATCAGGCATGTACAATATTTACTATCTCCCAATAAGAAAATAATATTCGCAGTGTCTCTCCCTCCAATGATGCTACTCCATTACTTCAGTGTAATTACTCTGCTGATATTACATGTATTATTTAATTTCTGGTGTATCAGTTTCTTTCGTGTCTTGCCTCCAGATGCAAATGTTAATGCAGAGAATTAATGAGTCTCTATAAACTCCCCCCACTCACTCCCATCTTTCTCTGAATCTGCAGCTCCTCTATGCTCTCTTATCTCTCCAAAGCACAAGCACATCTATCTCCATCCACAGCCACACAAACACCTTGAACTCTGTCTTCTGTGGTTTTCTAGCACTCCTTTCATTGCATTCTCTCATTATCTCTCCCTTGTCTCTCATCCCCCATTTTTGTTCTTCTTTTTTTTAAAACCCTTCATTTTCTCCTTCTCTCCCTTCCTTCTTCAATTTCCTCCCAGCCTCCCCCTCTCACTCAACCCCCTCTGCTTGTCCTCTCTTATAATTCCTCCAATGCCTTCCCTATCCATTGCCTCTCTTCCTTATCTCCTTCTTTCTCCCTCCCTCTCTCTCTCTCTCTCTCTCTCTGTCTGTCTCTCTGAATCTCTCCCTTCCCCTTTCCTATCCCTTCCTAATTCTTTGCTTCTTCTCTCTGCCACCCTCCCTCTCAGGCTCTCTGTGTTTGATTATGATTGTATTAGAGAAGGCAGCTGCCGACCTTCAAGACCAGTTTCAAGGTGAAACCCGCCTGTCTGATGAGGTAGAAAGACCAATACTTACATAACAAACACACAAATCTGCACTCAGAAGCACAAAACCTCTCTTAAGCACATATTTATGGAAACATACATACCATCTGTATGCAACTGAGATTTGTAGCAGCACACCGTCATGCAGACAAACGCACCACATACACAGTCATGTCAAGATCTTCCTGGCCGTATGACAAGGCAAAATTAAATATCTTACCCATGACAAAGGTTATTTTTAATACAAAATGTTTATCAATATGCAGAGTGATTTGTATGCACCCAATCACTTATGCAAACTAAGTGAAGACAGAGCTACAATTATGACCATCAGAAGCAACTAATCCCATTCATACACATACATACGCCACTGATGTAGCAACTTGGGGTTAAGTGTCTTGCCTAAGGACATATCAGACATTGGCTGCAGGAGCTGGGTATCCGACCTTCTGGTTGAGAGAAGACTAACTCTACCAACTGAGCCACATCCGCCCCAATATAAGAAATACAACTAATTTGTACTTATACCAGGATTAATAATAAAGGAGTCTTTTTAACTCTATTTTTTTACAATATGCAAAGCGGTGTGTAGCTTATCTGGGACTCCACTGTCTTTTGTCTCCACTGTCCCTCATCTCCCCTCCATCACCTCCAGATATTCTAGCAGTGTGGCCACTAGCTTATCTCGTGACCCCATTTGCCCCTGTATTCAATAATTACATGCTGATGACATATACCGCTTTTTTTTTTTTTTTTGACAACACTGCTTCATCAACTTCTTGGCTCCTACAGCAGCTAGCTTCAACCTGGCAACAATAAATCCTATTTAAATCACATTCACCTCGGGGAGCTGAAAACTCTCATTCTATCTCTCTTAAAAAAAACACACTTCTTTTCACTCTTGCTATAAACACTCTTGTCAGGAACATTTCTCTGTCCCTTTCCTTCCTCTTTCTACTTGTCCTGACACCAGAAATACTGATTTTCTCCTCAGCTCGAGTTTCCTTTTTTTTGAAGAATCACAAATGTCTTCCTTAATGTGACATTTTAGAGCAATCAAGGACTTTCCATTTGGACCACAGTTCTGCTTATTGACATTCACTCTGGATAACATCCAGGTAAATACATGTAAAGAGGACCAGAAACAGTATAATAAGGCGGAGGAGTGTGTACAAATCTGAGCTTGGATGAGATGTTTAAATGAAAGAGACAGGAGAGTGTGTAGGTGGTTTACCTTCAGTGTTTATAGCAGACACGTAGCTCCAGTTGTATCTCTTGACAATGTCCACCATAGCTCGTGCCTGCTGGGCATCTGAAGGCACCACACGCATAAAGTACTTAAAAAGGCTCTGGAAAGGCATTGGAAATAAAATCAAGTTAATTATTCAAAATGAAAATGTAACATTCAGATGTTCTTTTACATGTATGGGGCTACATTTGTACAAGTCCACAGGCTACATGGCCTCACCTTATCGCTGAGGTCCATACTTGTGGCAGAGTAGGCAATCTGTGGTATGTTGAACAGCTGTAGAAGGTTCTGAACCTGGATGGCCACGGAGCTTGACCCTGGTCCAATTAAACCCACAATGGGTTTCTTTCCCCGCATTGGAGTGGCAGAGGGGTCTGAGCACTTCATCGTTGCTCCTCCACCTCCTCCCCCTCCACCCCCTCCCCAGGACACTCCTCCACCCCACTCCTCAGCCTCATCGGAGGAGACCAGCGAATCCCGAATGAACTCGATGCTCTGCTCCAGAGCCACAGCTGAGTGCCAACAAGAGTCTCGGATCTCGCAGCCCAGGGTGATATTGGGAAGAATGTGCTGGTCAGCGTTGATACGGTCCAGTGTGTGCATCATAGCCTCCACCCTCTGGATGCCGTACTGCTCTCGCACTGCACCACACTTGCGCTCGTGTACCTGTTCAGGGTAAACAAGTTTGAGAGAAGGAATCCAATCCAGTCAATTCAACATTTAGATATCTATAGTCTAAATGCCAATAATGGTATCACAATTGTAACTTTTTAGCGGATTTGGATCAACACGTTTTTTTAAATTACACATTTCACACATATGGTGCTTCACTGTTGGACTAGCAGTGATTTTATTTTAATGGATGCCATGTTAAAACTTTTTTTTTCCAGGGTGGACAATTATCTATAATGAGATGGGAAAAAATGATACATGTCAGTGGGTGTCTGCGAGTTCCTGGGGCAGCAGGTTCGTGGACCCATTCTACAAATTGAATGTTTTCTTTGGTCTTAATAGGCAGAGAATCATAATGACGCTTTATACAACAGAATGGAAAATGTGTTATTTTTGTCTTTACGTGTGGAATATTTCCAAAGTGCTTCTTTCAAATTCAGACAGGTTCACACATGATGGTCATAGAAAACTGAATTTCCTATAAATATGACAAACACCATCCTGCAGACATATTCAGTCACAATATTGCAACAATACCTTGTCGGCAGGAGGCTGATGATGGACAGAGAACAAGGCTCCAATGATGATGTCGCCAGGTATGTGAGCTACAACTCGCCGTTCATTGGACTGGGCAGAGTCGACTCGATTAGGTCCCATCCAAATGGACAGAACTAGCAGCAGCCGAAGAATCATCTTGGTTGACTGAGGTATCAAAGGAGAAGCTGCTCACAAATTTGCTGATAGAGCCGTCACAAGAAACCACTCGTCCTAGAAATACTTTTCTTGGCCATGGCAAAGGCAGGCGCTCCAGGCTCAGAAACACTTTTGAAAATGGATGATTTCAATATATTCCTTCCTTTCAACTTCCCTTTCTTCAGATTTCAAGACGGGACCATCACTGCAACAGCTGAGACAGGTGCCGCAGTGCAACCTGGGGAAATTAAAAAAATAAAACATCTGGGCTTAGTGTCATTGGCTGAGAATTGGCTGGCAATTACAAAGTAGAGTTACTCTACACAGTAAAAGATGAAGTCAGACATGTTCACATAAACCTGAGAGCAGAAAAGACATTGAACATCAAAGTTGGCGCAGAATATTTAAAGCATGCCCCTCACACTTCTCTGGAGACAAAAGTTTAATCGACTTGCTTCTACCTGTATATAACAATGATCTGTTGACTCAATCCCATATGTTACTGTTAGCTGATCAGACATTGAACATACATTTTATACAAATATGCATTCAAATTGTTCAGGGAATAAGCTTCTACATTTTCATCAGCTCCCTGTTCAATATGGACGCTTCCCTGTGCTTCTCTGAGAAGTATGGCATTTTAATTTTTTCATGATATTGTGCATTGCGTAGTAAAATTAGGAAACATATTCAACACTACGATCAGGGATTCTAATGTACATTAAAACCTCAGATAAACAAAAGGGCTCGGTAGAGTGGTGACTGGACTTGCGCTTGTATAGCTAGTCTCTAGTCTCTAATTTCTGTACCTATTTAGATTTAGATGCACAGACAGCATTTTGTTTATTCACTGCTCCTGATGTCAGTCACTCTCATATCTGCAATGTTTGGAGGACTTTGAGGACTTTCTTTTAGACATCACATCCTCATTTAGGTGGGGTAATATGGCACTGACATTAGTATTGTCTTTTTGATATATAGAGAGCCTCTGGTGAAGGTCTGGCAGATTTAGTTTGGCAGAGCACAAGTTCATATGTGTTCTGTTAAGTCATTCCCCTCATGAGTATTCATCTTATATAAACTTTCTTCAACAGAAGCCATCTGAGTCTCCTGAATCATTCTTGTGTGAAGTCAAGCCTTACAAATTTCTTCAACAGAAAAGAACACCTTAAATATAAGTAAAGTTTAAAAGAATTTAAGCATGCAAACATTTTCAAAAGGTTTCCTTTTCCTTACAACCCATTTCCATCCACACTTGGTGTTTTCAGCAACTATACTTCCTATGAATACTGAGTCATTTAAAGCCTGTGCATGTTGTTCACTCTCCCTAGACAGCGTGTGCACCTGTTTCACCATAAATGTAAATCTCAGCAGCACACTTTATATTTAATTGAAATGGGAATGCAAACTGCGCAAATGAAATCAAGATAATGACCGCTGCATCAGCCATTATGGTGACCAACATAATGAGCAGTTACTGTTTGTTCTCTAATGAAGCTTAATGTGATGACTGGAGTACTGGCTCTGGTCGGCTCTAAAATCACCATAGTCACCACCACTGTGTCAACACTAAAAGCAGTAATACAATCGCAACATCAGATCACACCTCACAGCTGCGGTGAGAAATCTTTGGTTGTCCGACAAGCTTTTTACAGCACCCACGCGTAAATCTGTGACGCCAACCAGGCCACCTAAAACCACTGGCAGTCACATACTTTGCTTAATTTTCAATTAGTTTGAAACCTAGACAATTAACTCCACTAGCACAAAAAAAGCCATCATCATACCAGATGTTCTTCCTTTAGTGTCTGCCCCTCATCCCCTACTCAAATCAAAGGTATGTTCTATATGCTTTCCTCCTGCTGCTTTAGTGGTATCACTTTCAAACGAGCTTTTGGGTCTTCTCTCTCAAATGGAACGCATTGTTCTCATTAGAATTTTAATTGTTTCAAATTTTGAAACATAGACTAGGACAGTTTAAAAAAAAAAACAGTGAATAATCCCTTTTGCAATATTTGGGCAGGTCACCCCCTTAGTGGATGGTTCAGAAAGACATACGAGACACATCAAGCTACAACAAGAAGTAATACAGCCGGCACATGGTGTTTAATAGTCAGCCAAATGAGAGGGACATCACTTTCCTCCCTTGAGCAAAGTTTCAAGTAGCCATCCCTCTGCATTAATGTGTGAGTCTTATAATTTTCTTAACCTCAGGGCTACACCAATGCTCAAGTTTACTGCAATGGAGCAATTTAATTGACCGTAAACAGCAGGGGACCATTTAGACAGCA